GGCATGTCTTTAACTGTTCGCCCATGGATGGATGTGTGTTTACCTGAAGCGATGCATGTAGTGTTTTTCGTGTGAGGCAAAATTTCCATCTAGCCAGGAATGAAGTGAGTACACAGGCTAGCGCACTTGAAATAGCTTCTGCCGTACGGCATTTGCAAGGTCGCATGGTCAATGTCCCAAGACTGCGATCTCAACAACACACACAGACAGACTCAACCGCATACATATACATAGATACCATGCATACACTTTATGTCCATGCCTTTCTCACGATTCCATACGTAATTTCGCCAAAGGAACGCAATTAAACCCATTCTGGCTTTTGTGCGTACGAGATGCTCATTTGCACCTCGGACCTGAGGCCCTTTTCAACAGTATTTCTTTCTAATTTTTTTTATCAATTAAAATATCTTTGAAATTATTTTAATTCTATCTTAACCATTACGCGCCTCCGATTTGGACGCTAATAATGAAAGGCGGAGGTGAAGCGCGATTTCAATGGAACCGCATACAATGTAATTGCTGATACAGGTTTAGCGTTCTTTTCTACAACATCGCCTTTAATCTTTCCCTATGGTATGCATACAATGTCGCATGCAAACTATGTATGCATTAAAACACTTTGGATAATATATCCAATAATAGCTGATAGGTAGAAATAACGATTTCAAGTTTAATAAAATTATTTTTAGATTCAAACTAATAATTAATAGAACCGTCTTATAGTATATGTCGCCCTTATCTCAGACCACCTCGAGTTTCAACAAAATTTTCTGACAAACAAAACAGATTTCTAGATAGAATATCCATAATATTCCATACATTAACCTAATAACTACAAAAGTTTTATTCTATACTTGAATGCATGAACTTATTTTTCTAGGTTAATTTATATAACAAAGTATACTACTAAAAATAATTAAATGATCATGACCTAGCCATAAAAAATATGTAAACATTAGAGTAAATAGAAAAGTTATTTGATTTTTAACATATATAATGTAAATTTATATTGAAAATTTCTATCGCGTAGCCAAAATTACAGTTAAACCTTGGTTAACATTAAATCTAATAATTTCAAACTCAAAATGTATTTAATGCAGAAGATGGTAGTTTTTAATGGAAAATTTAGAAATCTTAGTTATGATCGAAGATAATTACGAAGAAAAAGGAGACAAAATTAAAGATGTTACTGTCGATAAAATGTTAACAACCAAAGATTTATAAAGATGATATTGAAAACATTTTTAATGAAAATGATCCTAAATTAGGATGAAGTGTATAGTTAAGTGATAGTATTGATGAAATAACTTTGTATCCCTCTTGGCCATAATATGTTTGAAAACAAAGTTTCGCTTAACGAAGAAATATCGTAGAACACATCTTATTCGTTAATCCAGGTATGATTGTATACAAACAGATTTCTTTAATCGATTTCGGTATTATACGTATTGAAATCATTAATTTCTTAATTACATAATATTCATTCAATTTATTAATTAATTAATTAATTATGTTTATTATTTACTTAATCATTTTTATCACAATTTTTATATAAATTTGCAAAACTTTATTTGACCATTTAGTCCAAATAAACATATAAATCGAAGTCTTCCTGCCATAACAATTTTTTTATATTTTCTATTATATATAACAAATATTATACAGACTAGATCAATAAATTTAATAAAATTAAGTTAAAAATGTTTCCACTGAACATTTATTTTATCTAAAAATAATAATAAATTGTTGCTAGTTCTATAAAGATTCTCCGGTTAGATATGAATGCTGATTCATATTATACTTGTCTCTGCGTGAATCTGGAGCATGTTAGCTTTTTGTAGGTGTACAATATTTTACTTTCGATCTGATAACAGTAGAGATTTAACGGTATACTTAACTTTATTCCAATATCGCATAATAAATAAAACATGTAACGATGTAAAGTCCTGTCCTAATTTCACTTTGGAAGAGAAACCTCAAAATATATTATACAATTAATTCCATCTACAAGAAGCTAATAACAAATTCCATATATTTTTATACAACAACAAAATAATAATCCATTATTCACCACAGATTATTTTTAAAGTTTAAGTAATTATAAATCAATTATTTTATGTTTAATGGTTAATGAAACTACAGACTATTAGTTAACACAAATAAAACAATTATGCTTAAATCTGTATTATACTAATCATATAAGATATTAGCGATTTATTTGTTCATATTGATAAATCGATATGTTTAATTTGCTAACAAGAAAATTACATTAAAAATAATCAATTAAATGTATGTGTTTATTTAAATTTAAGACATCATTCAACTTAATAATACTACAAGTTATGACAAACTATGTAAAAACTGTTTATGTTTTTTCAATTCAATTATTTGCTTTATTTAATTCTGAATTGTTTAATAGTTATAGAAACTGTAATCTCTATTATTTGACACAAATAAAACAATTATGCTTAAATTTGTTTTATCCTAATCATACTTGATTAGTGATTTGTTTGTTTATTTTGATAAATTAAAACCAGTATGTATATACTAATTTAATACATTGTTTATATATCGATGTATTTTCTAACATGGAATTTACATTAAAAATCAATAAAATGTATATTTTTATCTAAATTTAATTAATGATTTAACGACTCATTATTGTGGTAATTAAATGGATTTTATTACTTACGTTAAATCAATTACTTTGGAATACAAACATCTATACAAATACGTCGTTTATAAATTAATGAGATTATTGTTGTTCAATAACCATTATAACTAAGTATTTTTTTAAACAACAAAAATTGTATATACCAGGAATGGGTAGGAATAGTGTTAAAAAGAGCCATATTCCAGATTTTCATATATTAAAGAACCACAGTTACATAGTATAAAATAAACACTAGAATTTGCACATAACTCAACACATTTGTACATCCCTAGTAAGTAACAGGGGTGGGCAGAAATGATGTTAATAAGAGCCACATTCCGATTTTTTCATATATTAAGAAAAAAAGTAATAATTGTTGAAATAGCATCAAGAAGATGAAGAATATTATATAAAATTAAATTATATTGATTATTTGTTTAGTGTATTTGAAGTCATCAATTTTTGTTGCTTGTCACTATCAGACGTTTTTATTTAGCTTCTATTCTATTTAACATTCTCTCTCTACTTAAACTTTACATGTGTCATGAAAGATTTCTTCTTTAGTTGCTTCTACTTTTTTACACGGACAAAACATTTAACTCGTCGAGAGAGCTCTTCATTAATCATTCATCCTTCCTCACGTATTTCTTTCACTCCGAAATTTTACATTACACAAATTCTTTTGTAATTGGATCCATCTATATTAAATTAATAACAAAATTACAGCAATACATTGCATATTTTCATCAATATCTCGGACTGTTAGAAACCGGACTAATCGAAGACCTTAAAACTTCACAAAAAGAACTTGGAAAAAGCGATAAATTGATAAACGTGATCTACATTTTTTTTTTTTTTGAATGCTCTAACAGGTGAATTGAACGTGGAAATCTTAGATACTTCTGTAGATTTAAATCTGTTTGTACGATAAAGTAAAAAGTTTATTATCAACAGTTTAATAGATTACTTAAAGTTCTTAAAGTAATTCAGACTGAAATTATTTAAACTTTTTCCACATCCTAAGTGATTATTGTACAGTAAATTAAAACAGGTGTGATTCTATATAAATGTATTTATTAGTGTAGGATAATGTTTCATAAGGTAATAAAGCAGGACTCCTACAAACGGGATAAATTACCCCAAATGAGGTAAAAGTGATTTCTTGAAGGCCCATTGCCTTCGTTTAGCAAATAAAATTCCATATTTTTATGAAAAATATTGAATTTCATCCCAAATGCATTTTAGCGTAGTAGCTAAAAATAGTTCCTGTACTTCTGTAATGAAGAAAATTATTACTAAAATTATGATTTTTTTCAAAACCTAAGTTTTAAAATTTTAAAGTTATTTAGTGAAACTATAGTAGTTAATATCATATTAAAACAGTAGTGATTCTGTATATCATGCTTATTTATTCAAAGATATGTTGTTAATTGTAGGACAATACAATCAAGTAAAGTTGACCTTTACTTCCACACTTTGCGTGACATGAGGCATGTAATTGTAGTTAATGGATATGTTGAAAATAGTAGTTGGTACATCTAGAAAGCATGCCTCATGTCATCATGCAAATTGATTTTCTTTGAATAGAAATGTTATAAAGAAAAATATAGAAATTTTAATGTCATTTATTTAATAAATTCTTATAGGATATATGTTTTCTTCTAAGAATAATAAATAAAAGTTCGTTTCTTCACACTAATATGAGAAATGATTGATTTTAAAGCATACAATTAGACAATGATAAAACAATATCATTTATACAAAACTTTAGTTCATAGAAAATAAATGTTATTACAGCTGCTTTCTGGGTTGGTACTCCAATTAGACTAGTCCAATTTAGGCAACTGTTTCCAAATATAATTTGAGTTACTCAATTCTGTTTTCTATTATTTTTTATTATGACTATTTTTTTTTTAGTTTACCAACATTCGCGAAACATAATATTTCTTGGGGCGGAAAGACTGTGGTCTATATCACTTTGTATGCTATTGTGTTAAATATACTTAAACTAAGACATCTTAAGATAAGTTTACTTATATTAATTCGTCTTATATAATGTATACTTAACTTAATAATAACATTTACCAATAAATTTTAAGGAAGTTTAAAGTGCTCTCTCCCTTCTTTCTCATAAAAGTTATTGTAAACTACTTATGTTGAAAGTCCAATCTAGCGACCGGTCCAAATTCGGAAACTCTCTCTAATATCAATAATAGTTGATCTTTCTAACAAACATGTTCCATTTCAATTGTGTATGCAACATTACACAATGTTATCAAACAAAATAAACCCTTCAATTGTAAAAATAATAATCAAACATTAATGAATTTATTATTGAACTTACTGATGTTCCTTTCCGCGTGTAAACACGATGAATCCGAAACGGACAATTTCCGATTATGAATGCTCCAAGCTTAATTCACTAGTTTCCAGTAACTCAACACACGCAAGGCCTAATACACATAACGTTTGTTTCAAGTTACTTTTTTTATTTTTGCACCCGACATTCAATTCCCACTTAAATTAGACCCGATGTGATAACGGTGCATTAACGTTATCAGCATGCTGCGCGGTTTATCGCGTAATGTGCTTCGAGGATTCCATTTTCCGAAGGCACATTAATTTTCCCTCCCTAGGTTGGTGGTCTTATCAACAAAACAGCGAGGGTTTCTAAAAAGCGCGGATGGAAATTTACGATGTGCAGATTTCACTCTCTCTTTACGTATATACGCGTATACATATATATAAGCAAGCAACATCCAATTGTGTTTGTCGAGTAATTAGCAGCTGCGGAATGTGGCTCCATTAACCGTCCATAAACCTAAGATTTTTCTACCTTCGGACGAACGAACGAACGTTTGCAAGCTCAAATTACTTCTCCTCTTTTTCGTAAAGTTCAGTACACACTAAAAGCGAAAATCTGAAAACAATAAGCAAAGAAAGACGAGGCTCTCGGGATCTAATAAAGATGACAATCCCGAACTTCGTTCTGCAATAGCAGAAGTTTTAAATTGAAATTTCGCTTATCTCGTGGACAGATGAAGTAATAATGAACACGAAACTTACGAAGCCTTAACGCGTATTACCAGCTGAAACTTACAATCGTGTTCATTAATTTGCCAACATTTAACACGTAATTCGCTGCAGTTTCCTATTAACATGCGATATGTTAACAGTAATTATTGTTCTCTTATGCCGTGTAATATTGACATATAGTATCAATTGAAAACCTGGAAACTGGTCGTTTTTATCTTAAGTGGATCGGTGTGTAAGGTTCTGCGGAATTCGCGTTATGCAATCGACCCGATCCTCTCGGCTCGGAGCCGGAAAAACTTGATTTTCCGCATTTGACCATTTCGCATATTCCATAATAACGTACGCATCTACACACATGCACACACATATATACACATATACATACATACACACACACAAACACAGCAGTTTCAGCACGAAGTAATTCAACTAAGCTAACATTCTCAAAAAAAAGGTAACAATAGATCATTTTAATGCTGCGTCCGGTGAAAAGTATTTTAATTCTAGCATTGTTTAAATTTACAGCTAGAAATTAATGTGGGTTATTAATGTTGCCCCGCGAAACTTGTTTTGAGCCTTTTACAGTTCATGCTTTCTGTCTCTCTGTATGTGTGTGTTTTTTACCTTAATTATAATATTTTTTCAACAATAATCCATTGTGTTTTAAACGTCTCGAAACGTATGAAAAATAGTATTTAACTTGCGTAACAGTCAAGGAATAAATGAAATATTATTAAGTATTTATGGTCAAACTGCTTTTTTTTTTCTTTAAATATTTATGTGCAATGTTTGTATGTTAACACATATTTTAACACTAACATAAATTGTCTGTTAAAGATATACAACTCTCTTTCAAAACATATTTTTGTATAATAAAAAAAAATCAATAGATAAATAAACTATTTAAATAAATGTTTATAATAAATATATTAGTAATTGCTAATAATGTTTATAATAAAAAGAACAAAATAATTAATTGACAACATTTTTAATACTATTATTTTATCTAATATAAATAACATTACTTTAGCAACCAAAAATGAAACAAAAATAAATCACATCAATAAATCATTACGTTTTTATATTTCTATGAACAGAATATCAAACTTTTACTTTCTCTATTCAGTAATAAAAGTATGCTTTTGTATAAATGTAGTTATTTATTGAAAGACTATGATGATATCCAATAAATTTTGAAAATTAGTATAAATGGTAAATATTACTGAAACAACACTAAAACAATTATTTATGGTTACAGCTAAATTTTTAAGAAATCATTTAAAATACAGGATACCTCACATTGTCCGGATTCGCCTGACTACTAAATTTCTAATATATAAAAAAAAATAAACCACACAAAACAAAATTAACTATTTATAGTAAAAAAATCTGCACTACAGTGATAACTGAAATTAATTAATATAAATTGAATAATTTTATAGATCTTAATAATAGCAATTTTATATTAAAGCATGTGAGAACCATTGAGGCTATTCTGTAACAAGTAAACTGCTCATGAATTTATATGTGAACAGTCTCCATATATTTTCTAGATAAACGTGTGATTACCTCTTCGACGTCTTTAACTAAAAATCTTGATGTCGTTTCTTGTTGCCAATTTATTACAGCCTGTTTCTAATCTTTTAACCAATAATTTTAACTCTATGATTATTCTGATAATGTTGATATTCCCACAGTAACCATGGTTTGCAAACACTTAAATTGCAGAATAAAAATTTAAAATAGAAGCGTCTCAGCCTTATAAAACGAATTATATAATATTTACTTTTTTAGTTTTCCCAAATTGATGAAACATAATTAAGATATTAAATATTTTAATTTGTTACAAATATTTACTCATTGTCAGCATGTGGCAAATTGTAAATCATAATAATATTGATTCCAACAGTTATTAATAAATTAATAAAAATTAATCCTTTCGCCCTGAAAATAATGTAAATAAAGTATTGCTGACGAATGTTTTAAATTGCATTATTTTACATTCAGTTTACTTATATTAACTAATCTTAACTTAAGTTTATCTTCGTTAAGTTATAATAAGTTCATTAAAATTATCATCTTATGTTAAGTATACTTAAATTAAGCAATCTTAAGTTAAGTGTACTTATATTAATTCGTCTTATACTAAGTATACTTTTGTATTATGTTAAGTCTACAGCTAATAAATTTATTTATATTAATTCATCTTATGTTAAGCTTACTTAAATCCTAGTATATAAGCACTACTCGGATTCAAAGCAAATAAAATAAAAACTAATAAACAGTTATAAAGGGCAACTAACCAAACATCAATCAATCCTTTCTGTTAATATTTCAATGAAATTGATAATCAGTAATTATATTATTCTTTTTAAATTATTTTCATAGAATTAATAAATTGATAGTTGCAGCTATGATAGATAGTTCAGCGATATTTGAAATGTTCTTACATTTCTTATGCATTTATGTGTTTACAAATAAATGAAAAACAATAAAATTATATGTTATTACCACATTGCAAAACATCATTATTTTCAAACTACTCCTGGTATCTTATCAGGTGCGCACTCTATTATAATATATATATAGTATATACTAGAAGTACACTCACGACATGACAAGAATAAAATAGTTTGTACTTTCCTTTCAATCATTTTTTTATATACTGTGTACATTATAACTAATTTATAAAATAACTAAATTTTGAAAGAAAAAAACACTCAATTAATTTGTAAAGATTGATATAAATAAAATGTTTGTCTGTAAAAAGCAAATTACATAAATTTCAATTACTAAATTAGACACATTTTAATTATTACAATTAATTTAGTTACCAAATAATAGACTGAATTTATATAATCAAACATGTTTATACATGTAATTTATTTTTTTTATTACAAAACAACCAAATAATTACTTCTGCAAAGAGTTTTTATCTAATTGATGAAAGAATTTCTCGAATAATGCTTATAATTGAACTAGAAATAATATTATTCCAAAATGATAACGTAATTATAACAATGGACTAGATTTATTCAAAATTAGTAATATATGCACGTATTCTCATAAATATTAATATATTTTTCATCGTAAATTAATGTGCATTCTTTGTATACTGAACATTCTAATAATACCCTAAGAAATAACTCATTATTTAACGTCTCTTTTACTTGAAGCATCATAATTCTTATAAAAAGTAAACAATTTTCAAATATCATTTTTGTACATGATCAAAGAACAAAAACGTTTTAGGTCAGTGATTGGAGGTCACTTCAAGCATCTCATTTATTAAATACCTAAGGGTATTTTTAATGCTGCGCATTCCGTATCTGCATAATGAGATTTTCTTACTAGATAACATGTAAAACGTAATTATTGAAACTAATTTCGCATTTCCTCTGTCGGCTTTGCTTTCTTGCACCTCGCCTAGTGTGAATGTGTTGCGAACGGTGTAAAAACAAGAAAGGCGCACGATGTAATCTGAAAACCATCAAAAAGATCCCGGATCCAGTTCTACAAGGAAACATAAAACACAAGCACCGACCGCACCGACAAATCCCATCAAGAAGAGCTTTTACTGCTTTCAAAGGATAGTAATGTTCACACACTAGGGGAGAAACCTATTTTTAGTGCGGCAGAATTAAATGTTACTCACCACGGGGAGGAAAATGCCCACTACATTCATGTAATTAATTGGCCTATATATTATTATGTTAGAGTGGTCTGATAATAAAGTGTTTCACAAACTAATAAATTTCACACCAATATTATTTTGGATGCATTAATTGAAATAAACTAAAGAAAATTGCAAAAAATGCCATAGTTAAATTAAAAAATTACATGATTCTCCAAGATTTTTAAGTATCTTTGAAATCCTCGAATCATTATAAAATTCTTAAGATATTTTATTTTTCATAAAGATCTTTTTAATTGATTTATTCAATTATTTTTTAAATTTAAATATAAGCATTACGAAATAATCAGTTAATACATTAATCTATAGCATAATTACCAATTTAGTTTGAAACCGGACTAATAGAGGAAATAATTACATCCATCAATAAGTTGCATAAATATACGGTCAAGTAAATAGAAGAAAAAACAATAGTTTATATAGACAAAAATAATTTTGTGTACTATTTTTTGAGTAAAAACGATATTTGTATATTAAAATTTTAGTTTGTTTAGAAAATTTCAAACTGGACTATAATGAATTCGGACTATGCGAAGTATTGATATATATTGATTGTTGGATATTAAATATCTTAAGTTTCAAGTATTGTTAAAATACTAATTCTAAATATTTTATAGACAAAACAAAATGTTGCTAATACCTTTTTTACATCAAGAACAAAGTTTAATTTCATTAAATTTAGATACCAAGTATTAAGAATATGTTTTAAGGGCGCCGTAACAAA